GCAATTCAATGATAGGATTACTTGTGTTATTAGTCACAAATCTAAGTTCAATCCCTCGTCTCTGCTTAAAAATTTTACCCTCTACTTGCAATTTTAATGATTCATTAGGTTCCTCAGACCGCAGAAGTAGAACTCAACTTAACTTTATAAATTTCAGCCTACTATCTTGAGCCGGTCTCGAGCCCAGAACTGTTGACAGGTCTTGGGCCAAATTTAACGCCGGCAGGCCTAGTTGCGCCTAGCCTATGTCATCAGTTACCCCTTTTTTTTTTCTCTACTTTTCTCTAGCTCTCCTCAATCTAGAGGAAGTGGACAACGCCCTTCACTCAGCGTTCCGATAACCAACTCCAACCCTAATGATATCTTTGGTGCAACAGATTATCCAGAGATATATCCATTGTTTCATGAAGTTTGGATGTCTCCAAGACAGTCTGATCATAGCTCTAACTTTGGCTGTTCCTTTTCCCTTTTCGTGCCGACCAAATGTTTGTTAAAATGCGTCAGAGACATTTTCAACCAAATCTGGCGGCAGTGTGCATAAACATACACTGTTGCAGGTCAGTTTTACTCTAGAATAGAATTAGTAGTAATTTAATTTTATTTCATCTTAATTTATTATCCATCATTATATTTTATTATCCTAGAACCATAATATCTAAATTTCTATCTACATTATCAAAAAATAAAAAATACATATTCTTTAAAAAAATAAAAAAAAATACATTTTTTTTATTCATCTCTTAGTCTTGTTAGTGAAAAATTATCAATAACTTAGCTGTTCCAGCTTCCCAAAAAGGTTTCTCGAATTAAACTTATTTTTACTACTTGACATTTTATAATTTAACTAAGAAATAACCACTATAACTATCCAAATATTACCTTAGGATTAGAGGTTTTAATTTTAAGAAAGGGCAAAGAAGCATGTGGAATGGAAGGGAATACAATTTTGCTAGCGAACGTTAACTGAATAATCAATCAAATCGATTGTCCTGCTATGGGCCGGCAAGATCCGCACTCTTTGCGCAGTGGTTGACTTCCATGCTCCATTTTTTTTTATGTGACTTCTATGAAAAGATAAACACAACTAGAAGATAGTGGAGGTTGCTACTGTTGCTGCCACTGTTGTTGGCAGGGTTACGGGGGCCCTGTTTGATCTAATTTTAAATCCAATTTGGAACAGAATCACACGTGTCTTCAAGTTGGAGGCTAATGTTAAGAATTTGACGAAAAATGTTCGGAATCTGGAGGCTGAAAGGAGAGGGTGCTGCAATTTAAGGATGATGTTGACAGTGTGGGAAAGAGGTTACACTAAGGGTCAACAATTGGCTGACTAGCTCAGAGAAGTACATTGGAGAAATGGAGAAGTTCGAGAATGACACTGACAATGCGAAGAAGTGTTTCGCCAGGGTGTGTCCTCATCCCAAGGCCCTTTACCAAATTAGCAAGAAGGTAAAAGAGTATTTGGAGGTAAAAGAGTATTTGGAGGACATCGCTTAACTACTTGAAGAGGTTGCCAGAATCAAGATCCCAGCTTCAAACAAGATGATTGAAAAGAAACAAACTTTAAGACAAATACATCCCCAAAAACATAAATTTACAAATGAAACAAATGGGCACTTCAAATTTGTATCATAAACCAAAAAGGGAAGTTTTATAAACAAAGAACCTGGAGCTGCTGCCTTTCGTTGTTGGATTCATATTGTTCTTGGATAGGAGGAGGGGTAGGAGGAGAGGCTTTTGCCTTATTCTCAGCTCTAGCAAGAACTCCGTCTCCAACCAATCTTGGGACTCTAATTTTTACAAAAAAGGGATCCAAACTTGGCAAATAGCGCAGTGAGGGGAGAGGTTTAGGAGAGCGGTTTTTGAGTCGATGTAGTTGTGAAAACTGGGTCCCAATGGATAAGGTAGCCATTTGAGCAATGGTTTAATGAAGAACTGGATTGCTGGGTGGGGGAGAGGATGATGGAAAAGGAGAGGGTCCTTTTGGTGCAGTGTTGAATGAATAATGTTGCTGTGATTGGTCTTTTTCGCCACAAGCTCTACGTGGAAGCAGCGGAAATGGAAGTGTAGGACTAATAAAACGAATTTCTTGGAGGCATCAAATTTTGTTGGAATCAGATCAAGTTTTTGCGTTCTTCTTTTTCAAAAATCTGTTTTCTGGATGAAAAATGCAATTTAATGTAATAAAAGATGGGGAAAATTCCTGCACACCAACTCTTTAGGGTTTGGGGGCGGCGGGCACCTCCCTAGGGATTTCTCTCCAGTTTTCGAAGCCTCTCTCTCCCTTTCATGCTTCGACCTCCTTCTTCTGATTCAATTCCGATCACCCATAAACTATAGTCTCGCTTGGGACACAACTTGCTCACTTTGTGCGTGGTTTATCGGTCGAGAAGATGCGCAATGGAACCAAAACCCCAGAGGCAATAGCTGAAGACGTTGGGGCTATGATGAGTCGCATATGGCTCACGGAGGACGCTGATGGTATCCTCCCTCTCCATGAGGCCTGGAAACAGGGTCACCAGATGGGGAAGCTCTGCCTTGTCGTTAAGGTACTTTCCCGTAAAAGGATCAATTTTAATTGCTTTCATGATGCGTTGTTGGCCTCTTGGAATCTCAAACAATCCATTAAAATTTCTGAAATTGGTGAAAAGATTTATCTATTTCAATTTTCAGATGCTGGAGATCTCACTAAAGTTTTTCATAAGGCTCCATGGAATTTCAACAATTCTTTCATTATTCTGAAAAGATTTCACGCCTCGTTCTCCCCAGAGCAGCATGATTTTTCCACAAATCTCTTTAGGTTTGCATCTTCAATGTCCCTATTGGTCTTCATACAAACAAAATTGGGCATATGATTGGTAATTCTCTAGGCAAAGTGCTGGAGGTAGATGATGGTTTTCGCAAAGCTATTCGGGTTAAGATTGAACTGGAAATCAATAAACCTCTTAAAAGATTCAAGACCTCTCAAATAACAGCTACATAATGCAAAAAATTGAGACTCAAGTATGAAAGATTTCCTGAATTTTGTTTTGTTTGTGGTTGCGTAGGACACCTTAAAAACGATTGTGAGGTAGCTTTTCATATTAAAGAAATTGGGGGAACGGTGATACAATGTTTTGGCCCTTGGTTAAAGGTTGAACTGGAGAATTTATGGTGTCTAGATAATATTGATGAGCTTGACGTGGCCTTCTCAGATAACTCTTGGCCCTTATTCAATGAAAAAGACAAGGATGTCGAGGTGAATTCTAGGCCTAATCACCTACTTGATGATAGTATTGGGCAAAACAATCCCATTAATATAGAACACAATGGTGGTAGCCATCCAGATGAGGGGGCTAAGGAATGTGGTAAGGGTCAAGTCGAGTAAGGGAATCGGCTTATGCCTGATCTAGTAATTGGTGCTCTAGATACTTTGGGGGTGGACATCGTGCTTGAAGCCCCTTTAAGCCAAGAATTTGGTTCTATCAGAGGTGAGAATAGGAAAGGGGGTGGCTTGGGCGGTGGCAAATGGAAGAGGTTAGATCGTAGTTTTGAAAACTCCTCCATCAAAGATAGGGACAAGCATGGTAAGCGGAATCTCCAAAGTACTCTTGTAGTCGAAGAAAGGGCTTTGAAAGTATTAGTTGATAATTCAGGGGTGGTTGTCAGTTGAAGGAGTGAGGGTCATAACCTGTCTCCAGGATGAGTTGTCTAGTTTGTGAGACGGCATTCAACAGAAGGGGGACTGTTGGTGCCGAAAATCCTTTCTTTCCTCGCGAAATTGATTTAACAGGTGTGAATGTCTAGCTGCTCTTGATGCTTATAGTGACTTTCTTTCTACTTTGGTAGCCTTGTTATGCCCATGTAACGATTGTTTAAGGCAATCTCTAAGTATAGATGACCCTTTTTACGTAATTGACTAGATTCGTTATGGGTATAGTTTAAATCTGTAACTAGTGTTGTAAGTTATGCTTCTGTTTTTTAGTTATAGTGCCATATTATAAAGATTATATTGATGTCCACTTTATTTTAATGATATCTCTATTTTTATCAAAAAAAAAAAATGTAATAAACGACGGGATGTCATGTTGGGCCATGGCTATGGCCATAGAATCAACTATTAAGGTTAGACAAGATATTATAAATGTGTATATTTACTTTATTTTATAGCTTTGTTATAGTTGTAATTTTAAGTTTTTAATTTTTATTTTGTATATTCGGTAAATATTATTGTATTTAAAATTAATTTTTTATAAAAATTAAAATTTATTTAATTCAATCAAAATGCAATATTAATTACTAAATTACTAAACATATAAAAACTAAAAACCATAATCCAAAAAGTAAAATCATACTAAATTTTTAGACTTTATTTAATATGATTGTGGTTTTGAATTTTTAGTTTTGGTTTCTATAAATTTTGTAATTATTAAAAATTAAAATTAAAAATCAAAAACCTAAAAATTTGTTTAAAATAAATTTTAACATTGACAACAAAAAATATAAACTCATTTAATAAGATTCAAACTATTTTTTATTTCTATAATAATCATGATAATATGTTATAAAAATACACAATTGTAAACGAGATTTTTATTTAAAGTTATAAAATTTATAAATGTCAAAATCAAAAACTAGAAATCACAAACATAATAAGCGAAAACTTAGTCCATAATTATTTAGAGTGTTTAAAAATATTAATTTATAAATTAATTTTAAATTATTAAAATATAAA